GACTTTTGGTTCAACAACATAAACTACAGGAACTCCCCTTAAGTTGTTCTATTCTGTCCCTCAGACTTAGGGATCTCCCACAAAAAGATCACTTATGCACAGTTAGCAATATTAACTTTTTCATTATTTCCACAAACAGTAATCTTCCAAAGATTAGGAGCCACTTGGACAGCTGAGCTTACCTGGAGGTGTTCCTCAGGAACTATAACTGGCCCACATCTCGTATGCTCTGCACAGGCTTTTTGGCAGTATCTATGAGGGTCAGCTTTCCTCCTTAAATACTGGTTTGTCACACATTGCCTTGAATGAAACATGAAAGACAGTCATCACTCTTTTATTATTAAAACAAAACTCTAGAATAGTCCAAAAGCATTATATTGGTATTTTAATAAAGCTTTCACAGTGAAAATTGTTAGTTACCCTGCTAGGGAAGACAAAATGCTTCCATAGCTGTTAATGGTGCATCCACAGGTTCAAAGAGAGATTAGGAACGGGTTCATAAATGGGGTACGTATAAAAGGGAACTGGCAGCATGTATAGCCTTCAACATTTCTGACACAACAAATGCAAATGTCAATAATGGCAGGCTGGCAGATTTGTGAATGCTCCCTAAAAGAGCATCTGCCACCTCCACTGGGTCAGGTGGGTCACTGGTCTGATGCAGGATAGTGTTTCTTAGACTCTTATTCTATTCTACTTTTAAAAGCTATACAACACAATGTTAAATATGAAATATAGCGAGTGATTTTCAATAAACTTTCACGCACCTGCTTAGTAATATAGTACTTGTGGATTTGCGCACTTGAAACGTCTTCTCCAAATAAGATATAGCTTGGGGGAAGAGTTTGTTCTGAACAGGACAAGAAAATCAAAGTCACCCAGCAGCAGTGCAGACACAACTCACCAGAAAGGTATTAACTACCAAGTTACATGAAATGTGCCAGATGTTGTGGTACAGCAGAATAGGGATAACCCACACTCCACAAGAAGTTCAGTTATTATCAACATATCTAGGAAATATTTTGTTTCAGTGTTCCTATATTTTGTTATTGGAATTACAAAATGGGAAGGGAGCCAGTATTAATTTCAATGTACAGCTTCAAAGAGGTTTTAAAAACTATATACACATTTCCTACTGATACGTTTACAACCTGGATACAGCAAACACCTGTCAAACTACATTCGGCAGAACACTGGAATTATTTGGAATAGAGGCATAACCTATACACAAAGCCTTGGTTTCTTTCACTAGAGCATATTAAATTGCTGGTATTCAAAGCTTCTCATTAAATTTGCCGTAATTTTTTGCATATAATAAAATATGTACTCACAAAAAGAGGAAGCAAGTATAACATACCTTTATAAGGTGCCTTTTCTCAAGCAGCAAGCTACATTTAAAAAAAAAACAATCACGCTTTAGTTAATAAGGTTTCCACTCTCAGCTACAAAGACCAAAAAAAAAAAAAAGCTGCCACAACATTATACTCACTTCTCAACACTAGTGTCATATACAATCTTAATTCTTAGCTGTTGATCCACGTTTCGCTTCGATACATGATTTTCCTTGAGAGGAACTTGATACACAACCTGGCAAGGAGAGGAACGGGCCGCTGGACGAGGCAGCTCAGCGGGACAGACGCAGCACCCCGGGCCCGCTGCTCCTTCTCCCCGCGGCAGCACCGCTCCATCAGCCCCTTCCAGCCCCTTCCCAACCCTTCCCTCACCAGGAAGAACCGCCCCGCGCCCGCCCGCCGCCGTCACCGACCACACCCGCGGCCGCGGGGCCACACCCGGCACAGCCCGCCCGGGGGAAGCCGAGAACGGGCCGACCCAACAGCGCGACCGGGGAGCGGGGCACCCTCTGCTGCCCAACACCCCCCCCACCGCCGCCTGAGGAGCCCCGCGGCGGCCGCACCTGGCCACGGCTGGGCACGCGGTGGTCACAAGAGGAGGAAGCGGAGGGAGAAGGCAGCAGGAGCGGCAGCAGGAGCGGCAGCAGCAGGAGCCCGGTGGGAAAGGCGCTGAGCCCCGGGCGGGAGCGGCGGGCGGCAGCGGCGCGCCCGCCGCCCGGCTCGGCGGCCATCTTGGAGTGGCCGTGCGCCGCGTCGCCATGGAGGCAGCGCCGGGGGAGCGGCTCCCGCCAATGGGCAAGCGAGGGGGGCGGGGCGGCGGCAGCGGGCACTGCTGATTGGGCGCGGGGTCCCGAGGGGCGGAGAAGGCTGTGAGGGGGAGGCGGCGGGCGGGGCGCGGGAGGGCGATCCGGAGTCTCAGGGTCATTGGGGTGGGATGGGCTTTCAACATCACCGAGGCCGGAGCTCAGCCAGCGCTGCCGTTCTCACCACCAAAGTTTGACCCCGAACGCCACATCTGCACGTGTTTTTAGCGCTCCCAGGGACGGTGATTCCACCGCTTCCCCGGGCAGGCCGTTCCAGTGCTCGACCGCCCTTTCTGTGAAGTAATTTTTCCTAATATTCAATCGAAACCGTTTGAGGTTTAAACCAATGAGGTAATTTCCGCTTGTCCTGGCGCTTGTAACGTGGGAGAAGAGACCGACCCCACCTGGTGACAACCTCCTGTCTGCTATTTGTAGAGTGATGAGGTCACCCCTGAGCCTCCTCTTGTCCAGGCTGAGCCCCCCCAGCTCCCTCAGCTGATCCTCGCAAGACTTGTGCTCCAGGCCCTTCC